GGGGGGGGGGGGGGAGGCGGTTGACCCTTCCCCGAGTGTCCGCTATACTGGCCTGGAGCTAAAAAGTTAATAACTGTACCTGTTAACGCTGTTCAATAAACCTGGAGTCATGATATCACTCTCAGATGTTCCAGATGAAAGTGGGCCAGCGGGTCGTAGACGGTTAACGGGTGTCTTACTGCACGGTGTCTTATAAAACTCGATGTCTCTATTTATACTCTGTATGCTCGTATCCAGAACAACTGGAGACAATTTGCACTAGAATAAAAATAAGAAGGATCATGTGGCAAGGCGATGGCCGGCTGTAAAATCGCGCACTGTGGTTTTCGTGCCTTCAGAACCTGGCTCAAACGCCAAGGCGAAGTAAATTCCGGAGGGTGTATAGCAAGAATAAAATCCATTAATGCCACGAGCCTAGACTTTCTATATTGTAGCGCTTTTCACATATAAGAAGCCCAAGTGGCAAGCGATTATATTAGCGTGCAAAAACATGCCCGGTTTAAAATAGCTAATACTGAGTAAACGGCTAGGTAGTGAGGCTACACTAATTTATTAAAATTATGAGGCGTCGAGGTGATAAACCATGATTCATGAATCAGATCTTTGGATTTCAATGTTTCGTGAAATAAAAACAGGAAAAAAGTTATGAGTCTTTTTCAAAAAAGCTGTGACTGTACAATACCTTCAATAGAGGTTTTCTGTTTTTAAATGGCGTTCCGTCGAAGGCATCATCTTCATAACCTTCATCTTGTCTTTCCAACATTGCTCGAAGTTCTCGCTTCCGAGCTAGTGTTCCTCTTTTCTTCACTAAATACAAGATGATTTGAAAATAAGTGTATCTTCCACTACTCTTTCAGCAAGTCGAAACCCAGTTATTATAAAATTATGCGTACACTTTTGACATCCAAAATGGAATGCAATTTGCCGTGTTTGTTCCGCAAAGATGTCGTGACGTGTACGACAAGATTCAATTCTCATGACCCGCTCATACTTGAGCCGCCCTGCAGAAACAAACACGAAACTTAAGTCTTGTTTTATATAATTTGCTCTGATAAATATCTCGAGTCATGGATCCACAGCTTTGCGAGACATATTAACTTGTTCTCCCCAAAAAACAGTTCAATGTACTAAATATGGAGTTTTGACATAATATTCAACGAAGTGACGTCATAACGATGATATGAAAAAATAATAGACAGATTTAGATCGAGGACGCGGACGTCGAAGACGACATGAAAATGACGTAAAAATGGCGTGGCATGTCCAGACATGGGCACAGCACGCCATTTTCACGTCGTCTTTGGCGTCCGCGTCCCCGATCTAAATATGTCTAATATTAAACGCTACGACGTCATGCTAACGATGACTGCCGAAGAAGTGAGGAATTGTGTCAAAACACAAATGGCTTCCTACAACACAAACTTCGGGCTTGATAATTCTTCATATCACGCTCAACCTCATTCAAAAATTGTTAAATGATATTAATTACATTTACATTATACGAACATTTACATATATATGAAGATTTACATTATATACCACTAATATGAACAATACGAAGTATCAAATTATTATGAAGACTTCACCTTTCGCTTTTTTCACGTCTTTTTCCTGATCTTCGATAATGGAAGAAGGCATGATGCAGGCATATTGTTTCAATGCCTGAACTTTAGGCTTGTGCGGGTCAACAACGGACGGCTTTCTGTTACTTTCATTTTTCGCTTCCTTGACTTTTGTTTTCTGCGCTTTCTTCGCGATGATTTTCTCTTCGCCGATGTTCGATGTTTCACTCTCCGCAAAGCGGGGACTTCTTCTGTTACTTTTCGGATTGATCACATTTCTCAAGAGAGCGTTGTTCAATGTTTCACCATCGCTCTCCACAATTCGAGGACTTCTTCTATTACTCTTTGGATTGGTCACATTTCTCAAGAGAGCGTTGTTCGGTGTTTCACCATCGCTCTCCACAATTCGGGGACTTCTTCTGTTACTTTTTGGATTGGTCACATTTCTCAAGAGAGCGTTGTTCGGTGTGTCACCATCGCTCTCCACAATTCGAGGGCATTTTCTAGAACTGTGATCATTTTGATTTGTTACACATCTCAGAGTAGCACTGCTCGATGTTTCATTACCGCTCTCCGCAGCTCGCGGACTTCTCCTTCGTAAATTGTAACTTGCTTGGTTTGTAACACTTCTCAAGCTAGCTTTGTGTGACGTTTCTGTACGTGCTGTTAAAATGTATGTGAAAGTTGGGGAAAATATTGAACAAGAAAAAATAATATCAACAAAAAACGATTGCTAGCATCTTGCACACAGTACCTTTTTCATAGGTTTGTTCATCATCAACATTTTTCCTATTATGTAACTGGCTTTGATCATAACTGTGACTTAATGCCTAAAAAGCAAAAATATCACGTTCAAGCTAACAGGATACTGCACTCTTTTACTTTATTAAATGACAAGCAGAATTTAATGAAATCAAAATTTACCTTAGAGCTATTAAACATGTTACTTTTACAGTCATTGCTATCTGAACTTGAGTATGTTAAAGTTTTAACAATACTTCTATCTGGATCACTATTATTCTCAGTGGTATTTTCATCTGTACCAGTGGATTCATGAGGCTTAGAACAATTATACATGTCACAGCTGATTAATATTCCTCTACTGCGGGTAAACACTATAAAAACAAAATGTCACATGGTTGATATCGCTTTCAACAGTGTATCACACTATTTGAAACAACACACAGCTTCCCAAACCTGGACAAGTTTTTATATTCCTTTGAAGTTTTGTAATCTTTTTTCTTTCCAAGATCTTAGATTTTGAATGATTAATACTGTGAGGATTGTTAAGTCTGGCTGATTTTCTGGTCGACCTTTCATTTTCTAACTCATGATTCCTCATATGGGATGTCTTTCGCTTGCGGCTCATCTCAGAGTCTTTTTAATACACTCTATTTAAAATGATAATTATTAGTGACCTGCAATAATCGGTATGGGTATCACAAACGGGCCGATTTTTGCCCTATCAGTAGACAATCAGAAGAATTATCTGTATTTCCGATTGTGTAAAACCAATTGTTGAGAAAATGTACACTTAAAAAATTATATACATTGCATGTTAATACCATGATAGTGTTTGCCAAAGATTAAAAACATGTCAAGTCCAGCGGTCCAAGACAATGTCGAATATGGCACAATCGCTAAACATTATTAATAAATTAATGATAATAACATAATGCCAGAGCTATCAAGGGTGGTTGGGGGGGGGGGGGGGGGGGGGGGGG